AACTTTCCTGAGTAACTTAGATCATTCATTCTGAAGTTAGTCCAGTTCAAATGTCATAAACCAAACTGTAGCCTGCTTTCTGAACACAGGTTGTGGCACATACTGTCAGTGTATTAGTGACTGGATAACTTGAGAATAGGTGAAAATTATTGACCACCACTCATCTGACATCCTCTAAGATACAGTGAAACATATAATAACAAAGCTACCTGTACTTGTTTGCTGAGTATGCTTACTTGTTTGTGGACCGACATGAGAAGATTCTATGTACATGGATGTTATTTCTCCTTTGTATGAATCAACTTCATTACATGGCTTGGTATGCTTTTCAGGACTCTAGAAAAAAACAGGGGAAATAAGAATTCCTGTTTCAATAAAATGGCTATGTTACTTCATAACAAACAGAACACTGAATCATTTAGTGCATGCTATCCTCAAGATTAGCAACTGTAGTATCTAAAGAGCGAGAACTGACCTAGATGATACAATTTCAGTCTCTAGTAGAAGTAATTTTGTTATCATAAAATCAGTATATCATTCTTCCACCAAGAATGGGCCCTTTGTATGAATCCTGGACTAGGATTTAAATCCACTGAAAGACTTAGATGTTTAAGTACCAGCTAATTGCCAGTTTAAGCACTTAAGCCCCAGAAGAATAGTTTAAAACCCCCAGACACCACAAAGTTAACCTCAGATGAATTAAACGTTTCCATGGCCTTCAGTTTTTGTAGATATAGTTTCTTAGGCATGTCTAAATAAATGCTTCTGGCTTCTGACAATGCTTACTGGCTCAATTCTTACCTTATAACTAAATCCTGGTCAGAAGCCGTAACCCAGACCTATGGTTTCCAAGCTTTTCCCGTGGCAAATATGTATACTGTTTTCATTCTATTTCTGCTGGAAACTGAACGTCAATTCCATTTTAAATGGTGCAGTCCTTAGCTTGGGAAACACCTTTTTGTCTGAGTTTCCTTCAGGACTTGATCCATTAGGCTGTCTCACAGCATGCACAATATAGTTTAACATGGACACTATCTAGGATGCGTGTTCACTTTTTCCCTCATTTCTCCTATTTCTTAAAAGTTATGTTGGAAACTATTAGAGCAGTGGGGACCACATTCTTTTATCTCATATTGTGGCTGTCCCACTTTACATGGAATATGTAATAAACCGATTTTCAGGTAAAAAAATGAGAAAAAGAGAAGAAGTGCATATTGGTATGAGTTAGTAATTAGAGTACTTATCTAGGATGAGGAAGATAGAGATGCCTATCCCTCCTACAGCAAATACTTAGATATTTTCTCCTCAACAGTCATTGGAATCATATTTACTCACATCTTCAAAAGAACAGGAGGAGATAAAAAGAATCAATCTCTGAAAAAAATTGTAAGTACTTTAACCTTGATAAAAAATCTGCCAGATCTTACCAACACTCTCTCAACCATGTTTTCTCCAAACACAAAATCAGAATTGCTGCTGTTTTGTACACTTATGTCTTCAAACAACTGACTTCTGTGGGAACCAAATAACATAAGAATATGATTTAGAACTATTTAGAACTTTGTAAAGAATATGAGTAAGTTCATGCATTTACTTTACCACACCTTATATTAAAGAGAAACAAAAAATGACCACTTAAGTAATCAGACAAATTATTTAAGAGAATCTGAGAATATTCTCAACATAACATTTCACAAAAGGAACAGAGAGTACCACACTGTATTTCATGAAGATTATTGAGGATGGTCCTTAAAAGCACAGAAGAAGAAGCAAAACAACATGTCTCCTCCTCCTCCCGGAACTGTCTCATTCCAGAAACTTTAATGAGTTACATTTGTTTCCCTGTTTACTTTTGCTCCACCAGAAGACTACCAGCAATTAACAATTATCCCTTCGTGTTGGTGCAGCTGTGGTACCCTTCAGAATAACATACTGCCCAGTGCCATAAAGGTCATCCACCCAACATCTTTGAAAGACAGAGGAGAGGCAGCGTATTCTAATGCACACACTTTCAATTCACACAAATACTGCAAAAATGTAACAGTATGATAGCAAGTGACTTATGACAAGGTATAACTAAAACAGTAAAGAAAGATCTCTCAATTTTTCTATGACCTGTTTGATAAATATATTTAAAATGAGAATTGAAGAAAACTAAATACTTGCAATCCCTTGGCACTGGCCAACTCTAGTTTGGGGATACAATTTGGCAGAAAATTTCATACAGTAGATAAATCACTTTACATTCAAGATCTGGAGTATGACTGGGTTTGGCAAAAATTATTAAAATAATTAAATATGTTGAGTCATTTTATTTAATTAATATTAATAATTAAAAGAAGTTATTAAAATAACACTTGTACGTCTTCTGTCCCTTTTTCCTTCTTAGTGCCTTAGGTTTTCCAGGTAAGAAACATTAATTTGGGGTTTTTTTGCATTGCCACCCTGAGATTAACTATTGTCAGTTAGCCTCTTGCCTCTCAGCAGGTTTTAAGAGAAGAAGGTGAATGCATTTTTAAGTAGTGACAAAGTCACAACTTCTAAAAAGTACACTATTTTTGGATTATATTCAAGAATATTCTAATATAAGCAGAGTTGTGATTTAACCTGCTAATTACATAGCCACTTTAAATTAACTGGAAAAGTCCTTGTAAATTTCTTTGTGTGGAAGTTGTTCCTGCTGCAGGATTTTTGGTTGGTGGTTTTTTTTTTTTTTTTACAAAAGGCTTATAGGTTGTTCATGCTTTCTGTAGAGTTTAATCACCTCATCTCTTGCTGGCAAAAGCAAAACCATCCAAGTTCTTGTCTCCTTCTGTTCCAGAAGGACGACTTGGCAGGAAGACGATCTGATGTTTTGTCATGAAGTGCATACTCCAGCACCACTTACCTGCTCTTCTGCTCTTCCACTTCATTTATCACCCTTGGGAGGGCTTAATGGCACATATGTCATGCAGAGGATATTCCTGTTAATAACCTGGGTTTGTTGCCAGTATTTTGATGACTGCATCTGAAACTTAGTTTCTGAGTTCACAGCTACAGTGTGCTTGAAATCTCTTCACACAGGATGAAGGAATTCCCAAGTGTAAGTTATCTCAATTTTACACTTAAGGAAAAAATATTCCTTAACATTCTCATGCTTGATGTGTTGCTGAGACTAAGAGCAAATAAGAAAGAGAAATCAGAAAATCTGTCTCTTTTCAACCTTGAAGACTTTCATATGTGTTTTGGCCATGAACAGGGAGTCTGAAGTGTGTTTCAACTAGTAAGTTTCTTATCCTTAAGAAAACTCCCCACTAAAATTCACTCAATTGTGATCAATTTCCATCCTGAAATTTCATCTACTTTCTAGGCTGCTCCAGTAGCAACTTAGTAAGGGCAGCACTCCAGAAGAGCTAAAAACCGGAAACTAGAGCCTTGTCTCATATAAATAATGTGGGAAATAGATTTTTATTATTTTCAGAAATGTACAGGAAAAGCACTCAGTGCTGGATCTTTCTTCTTCCAGACAGTTAACTGGAAGTGCCAGCCTTAAAGTCTTATTAAAACCTCAATACTCTTTATGTTGCTGCAGGACAAGAACAAAGTGTGCCAGGGATGACATTGCCATGGAGATGCAAAACAGAGCCACTGAATTCAGGGAATGACCACTAACAAGGAAGAATGGGAGAAGGAGAAATGTGGATAAGATACTGAAAAGGGACCATGGAACGGGAGTAGATCCAGATACTGTCCTTCTCAGAGTGTCCAGAAAGGTCTGAGTAGCTGCCAGTTCCAGTGCTGGCCTTGAACTCTTGCAGTTTTCCAAGAAAATCCTTGTGCAATGCTGAACACGTGACCAGAAGCCTGCATTTTCCCAGCATTATATTTCTGTCACAATCTCCTTTCCAAGCTTTTAATCAGACTCGAGAAACTGCAGATTTCTCCTTTTCAGTTCATTACTACATCCAGTTCAGGAAACAGAACTGTTGGTGGTTTCCTGGGACAAGGACAGCTGCAGCAGCTGCAGCAACTGCAGAGGGCTAACAAACCACTTTGATTCATCTCTATGCGGGTCCATATCACACAGAGAAGTGGAAGCAGACGGAAAGAAAGAGGGATGTTTGCAGGCAGCACCAATCCCTGCTGTTGGGTCTCTCTGTATTTTATTTTTTGTAGATAAATGTCAATAGTTACACCTTGATTGATAATTAAAAACAAGTCTAAAAAATCTTTTCTTAGCCATGAGCAGGTCTGACTGCAGTGTTCACTATTGTTTAGCATGTATATGAAATTCAGTAAAGTTCTTTGAATACTTGTTGTCAAGTTATCTATGAGAAAACAGTTATGCCAAAAAGATTTTACTGAAGTATTTTAAAGAATCAGTCACTTAATATGGATCAGAAGAATGGCACTCACACTCCCTTGCAATCTCAGAAGAGTAGTAAGCACCTACTTGTATTTAAATTAGTTTTCAACTTGTTAGATAAACCAGCATTTACCATAATTGCGATATACAGAACTAATGAAGCACAAATACCCCAAGCAGATGCACAATTCCTCTTTTAAAAAAGAAAAAGGGAATACCATAAGCACTTTTAAGTCTTGTAACTTGTCAGCACTGAAACACTGCATTGCATTTCTCTATCCGTCTATTTCACGAGAGAAAGCCACTCACCTAGCTTTTCCTACATATCCTGCAAGTGACAGAAGGTAAATAGACTTGGAGTATGGATACCAAGTGATTTTGAAGTCAGTACTGTCTTCCCTTTAGCTTTTCCAGTATGTACATTACCATCATTCTGAATGTCCTAGAAGTCCAGCGTGCTGTGTGGCTCCATGTTGTCCTCACCGGGCATCATCACAGTGTTAATTGTGATAGAAAAGGACAGGCTGGCTCTTCCAAAAACACAGTGAGCGTCTGCCCTCTAATGATGCTCTTCTTGTTGATAAGGATTAAGAATCTAAGTTGTCTGTGCATCTAAAAATCCCTTGTCTCCTTAGTACCCTGGCACTGTGCATCCCAAATGCTGTGTGCAGGAACCTTTATCTGTGGCCCACCCAGCCCTGAAGAAGACTGGAATAGACTCCCTTGCAGTTAACATGTTCTCTGCCTTCTTTGGGTGGGAGGGGGAAAGGAGGCAACAACACAAATGTGTTTTCTGTGGCTCTAGCAATTTTGAAATGTCATTGTCTTGTCATAACTGATCTCAGGTGTATTCCTGATGCTCACAACTCCCAGGTAAATATAACCCTCATCAACCATCAGCAAGCGGCATTACCTGCTGGCTAATCACAGACCTAAGATTCTCATGAGCCGGTCTCCAGAGAGAGGCGATAGCCCATTTCTGCACCAGTGTGAGCTCTTTCAGTCATATACAGAGGCATGGTCATGGGGCAACATCCCAGTCCAAGGAAGTCAGCTTCCTCATGCAGAAATTCTGAAGTCGGTGCTGGTGAACCCATGTCTGCACAAAGATGCCACCCCATCACAATCACCACAGCTAGCTGTTCCTGCTAGAAATTCTCACAGAAGTAGAGCATCAGTTGCAGCATTCAGCCTGTCTTCCCAATCAGACCTGTATGGTTTTCTTCATGACTCCTGTGTCCAATATACTGACATATTTTGGTAATTCCCGAGTTTCTCTACATCTGTTTATTAGATGCAGCAGCTCTGCAATCAGACGAGAGTTCTCCAAAGGGACACAAATTTGACTGTAAACATTCAAAACTGGGGCATATTTTGAACTGCCAAAGCTGCACGAGATGGAAAACCAAAATAGCTTCTGGCTTGGGGGATGCTAATGAGAAACAAACTGTCCCACAGAGATTAATTCCCTGCAGGAGTCCACTTCTTACAGCATGAGGAGCTCATGTCAGTACTCACAAGTTCTGGCACCACACACAAACACCAGTGAGCACTGTGGGGGTACAGACAGCATGGTCTTAGTACCATGGTAAACATGCAGGACAAAAGGACATGCCATAGGCCAGGTGGCAAAATGGTGTAGAAATACAATAAATAAAAACTTACTGTGTTGTTTTAGAGCTAGAAAGATTCTTCGTAGTAGATGACCTTGCTGCTGTTTTGGAACTTACTGAATTCTCAGTTGAGGAATAAGAGCTGTCTTCAGATAGCTAGAAATAATAAAACCAGATGAATTAATTAGACCAAGCTTGTTTTCTGCTACAAACAGATCTGCTAGAAGTCCAGAGTCACTGAGGTATATATATGGTAGCTAGCAGATCTTCCTCCAGCTGTGTACTAAGCCACCCTTAATCAAAATGCTAAAATGTTACTTTCTGAATAAGCAAAATCCAAAAGACCCCCAAAGCTGATTTGCTCACAGCACCCTGTGTATCTGAAAGTTGAGACAGCCTGCAGAGAGGAGATATTTTTTTCAACATTTCATTTTTTTCAACAGTAAGCATGAGTTTAACAGTTCACACCATGGCAGTGATCCATCGATTCCACTGAAACTGATACAGGAACTTTCTTGAAAATAGTGCAGTGGAATAATTAACTGCTTTTAAACAGCACTTTTTTTTTTTAATTTAAGCTGAAAACATGTATTAGCCAGTAACATTACTTTTCTTTTTACCTGAACATGTGCTTCTTCCTTGGTTACTAGAGATACTACAGGATTTTCAGGACAGGTCAGGGCTTGTGGGGGTTGTAAAATGGCCGGTCTAATGACATTTCGCAATTGATTTTGTGACAAGGATCCTTGCAAAAAACAAAGAAAAAATATTTAAACAGAGACTTTTTCTTCACATGTAATTCATACCAGTTATCTTGTCTCTTTAACTGAAAACTTCAAAGCACATTTAAATAACATTTATTGATTTTTACTACTATTCTGAAAAATTTTAATCCCTTCTAAAATACACAACTCTGTAGTGGCATCAACCTGTTATTCTATCAAAATAAAAAGGCAATGTGTTATATAAAAAATACCGTTATTTTTATTTATAAAATAGTTTGTATTTATGTATTTAAATACATCTTTATATTTATACCTATTTACTGCTTTGTGTTAGATCTGTCCTCTAGTGTTTCAAATTTAATCCTGCACCTGCAGACACCAATAGGGCTCTTCATTGCCTTTTCCAGGAGCACAGGTACTCAGTTAGAAACATGGAATTTCACTATTCAAGGTTATATTCAGTCCGCTCAGGAAAGAAGTAGTCAGAGCAGAGGCTCAGAACCAAGCTCCCAGGATATTAACACTCTCAAACAAATAACTTATGACCCTCGTGAAGATACTTAGCCTATCACTCTGCATACAGAAGAATTGTCATTTTTATGTCTACTGCATCTATTAAGAACATCTTTGTGGAGCTTCAGTGAATAAATATTGCAATGACAGTTACCTTCTTTGGTACTTTTGACAAAGTCAGAGTTTCTTCGAAGAAGAGCTGAGGTCATGAATATGTTATTCTTCTTTACTACAGAACAAGAAATTCAAACTTTAATAATGAGTAGTAACATTTTTTAATTATTAATTCACGTTTCTGTAATTCATGTTTCTGTAATTCATGTTTCTGTAATTCATGTTTCTGTAGTTCTCCCTGTTTTGGTAGTACTTGAGCAGTATTCCAAGCTATCCATCTAAAGAAGATGTCTGAGATAACCCTTACTGTCTCCATTTTACAGGTGACTACACTTAGGCACAGAAAGCACCATGGGTTTTCTGGCTATGTGAGAGATAGAAGTCTTTTGGAAATCAGTGGATGTTCTAAACTCATAAAATCGTTCTTCAGCTTTGAAAACCAGGTGCTCCTGGTTTGCAAAAGCTATTGAAATGGCAATGCCATCTGGTACAGTCTTAGGCATTTTTAAGATGAGTAAATTAAGCCCAAGAACAAGGGAATAAATAAATGTGCCCTGCCCTGTTCTGGTAAAAAGGCTTTCATAAGTTACTGTAATGATGGCAGCGCACTACTGATGCTTTCACTGTTCTAATAAAGATACCAAACAACAGCCAGAAAGTGGTGGCAACCATGTACCACGTCCTGTAAAATGACACACCGATACTCTAGACACAATTACTACTTTTTCCTTGCAGAAAGAGT